GAGTTACTGGCCTTCCTGTTGACATCTGCAGTGCAGGAGAAACCAGCTCTGCATCCTGCCCTTACGCACGTGCTTCTCCTGGAGGCCTTGTGCAAGATGCTGAACTGAAGGTTGGACCAAAGTAGCCTCCACCTCAGTGACTCCGTGTTGGGCCAGCCCAGGCATGAGTTTCCACTGGTCTGTCCTGGCTCTTGGATGAATTCAGGCTGGGGCCTGTTTTGGATATTCTTGCTCTCTTGCCTGGCCTGAGCAGAAGAGGGTCGGAGCGGGAACAGCCAGAGCGCTACTGAGCTGCAGTGGAGATTTGCTGTCGTCCCAGCTGGGCACGTCGTGTCCAGCCTGTGGCGCGCGCTGCCCACCCGAAAGGTGTTTCCACGGAGGCGCCTGCCAGGGACGCGCTGGCGCCTGAGCAGCGTGGTTAGCTCGTGCGTCAAGCTCTCTGCCTGTCTCTCTGTCCCTCGGCTGTGGCATGGCCCCTCCTGCTTTGCTGTCCCCATTCAGCTAAGCCATGTGCCCATCTCCTCATTACAGGCACTCCAGGGAGAGGTGGGATTAAAGGATTATGGTAATATTCTTCAGGAACACTCAAGAAGATTAAGATGGCTTTAATAAACTGATAAGCGAGGGACACGGCTATGTTTCTGAAACCCTAATTTAGGCTCCAGGTTAACCTTTTCCCCCTGCTCTGGAGACTGCTCCCCTGTCACCATGGTGAGGTAACAGGAAATTTCTTATTTCTGCAGTGCTGCATGGCCAAGCCTATGCCTTCCTCTTTGCCTTTACTTATGACCCAGAAAGTGAGCTCCCTTCCCTCTCTTCTCTCCCTTCTCTCCCCTCCCTCCCTTCCCTCCCTCCCTTCCCTTCCTTCCTCCCTCCCTCCCTCCCCTCCTCGTATCTTGTCCAGGTAAGGAGGTGTTAAAGCTTCTTCATTTCAGACACCATCTTGCAGGTGTCCTGTGGGGTGCTGTGGAGGTTCCCTCATTTACCTGCCTTCCCCAGTAGCTGGCAATCCCCTGGTTTTCTCTACACGAGCCCTTGCTGCTCAGCCTGGCTTCACAATTTCATGTGGTGGCTGGCAGTGCAGGATCTCGTCCACCTTTGACCTGGCTGGACGTGTGCACGGAGCAGGTAGCAGCAGCAAGGGCCACCAGAGCAGCTGGCAGCAGTCCTGCCAGCCAGCTGTGTGACATCCCTTCCAGTGCTTGTGCCGGGACACTCTGGAGTGGCAGAGCCTGTGTTAGTAGCTGCCCAGTGTGCGGCCAGGAGCATGCTAGACGTTCCCCCAAAATTCATAAAACCCTGCAGTGGCAGTGCTCGCCAGGGGCTCTGGGACAAGAGCACTGAGCCCTGCCTGGCTGTGTGTCCTCCACAAGTCCTTGGCTCTGCATTTTGGTTGGCCAAGGAGAGATAGCTGTAGAGATAGCTGTACAAGATTGTGACGGTTTGGAAAGACCCAGCTCCTCCCGCGAGCCTTGGTCTAGCAGAAAGGGTGCAGCTCCCCAGGACGGCCCTTGCTTATCTCCATCCCACAGGAATGCTTTTGGTCCAGCAAAAAGGGTTGCAGAGGGAGCAGAGTGGAGCAGCCTTGTGCAGCCTGCCCATGTGGAGCCTGGCACGGAGCAAGCTCCCTTTCCTTGCCTGTGGGGAAACGGGGCCTTCCTTCTTGTGGGCAATCCAGAGAGGAAGGATGTGTCGTCTTTCTGGGTCCTCAGCAGTGCCTGAAAGCCCCAGGCTTTCCCCCTCGCTCGCTGTCCGGGGAGCAGGGTGGCAGACCCGTTGTCTCCAGACACCGTGCAGCGTGTGTGTGTGTGCCCAGCGCATCAGATCGCTCTTTATTCCCACTCGAGCGTTTCACTCGTATCCCTCCATCTCGGCATTATCTGCATCTTTTTGTCTGTCAGCTCCCTCCCTTCCCTTTTATCGCTAGACATAATTGGAAGAATCAAGAAGCATTCACAGCCCGGCAGCCTCATGGAGAAGGGCAGAGAGGGTGATTTGGGAGCAGGGTGTGAAAGAAAGGCGCCGGGGGAAAGCTGGCTAATTTGCATCCTTTCCGAGTGCCCCGGCTCGGGAGCCAAGTGCGGCGGGGGGTCTCCTGGCAGGGCGGGAGCGCCATAATGAGGTGGGTCACGTCGCAGCAGGTGCTGCCGCGCGCCTCTCGCGCCCTCTGCTCAGAGCTGCTTCGGTTTTTAAGCCCCCTGAGGAGGGCAGCGGGGGGCAGCACTCCAAGGGGCGGGAATGCTCCGAGTGGTCCCCGGGAGGAGGGACGGAAGGCGACAAGCTCGCTGTGCGGCCAGGAGGGCTGGGGACAGCCACACCGCCGTGCTGCGGGGTGCAAAAGGCTTCGTGCCAGGAGGAGCCGTCACCATTGTGGTCTGTGAGGGATTTTTTTCCCTCTTTTTTTCCCTCAGTTGATTTAGCATGTTAGCAGAGGTAGCCTGTGTGTGTTACACACATAAGGCTATACATTCTGTCGTGGCCTGACGTTGGGAACTTAGATCTTGAAGCTCAGGACTTCTCTCCTCCTGCTTTGTGAAGCAGATCTGGGAGCCCAGGCAATGGGGGCTGCTAATTCTGGGATCCCGAGCCAGAAGCCTGGAGATGCCAATCCCCTCACCCTTGTATTTGGTGCCTTTACATCCTTTCTCTGCAAGCTGGCTGTGTCCCCCAGACTCGATGACCAGTATCAGAGATCTCTGGCATTTCCTGCGCACACACATCTCCTCGCCAAGCAGGATTTTTTTGCAATACAAGTGGGTGTCAGGCTCTGTGTAAGGACCTTTGTTTTTTCTTAGTGTAAAAGGTCCTTAGCGTGAAAGTAAAAGGTCCTCCATTTAAGCGAGAAGTGCCTTTCCCTGTGCATGTAGCAGCAAGGTCTCTGCTCGTGACCACGGTGGCATGTCCTACCCACGCATCTTCTTCATGTCCCCACTGCCACAGCGGTGGGTTCCCTCCAGCACTGTGCCTACGCCGCAGGGACTTCAGAGTACAGGAGCTTCCAAGACCTACTGGCTTGCTCGGGACTTACAGGGTGACTCATAAGCCTGCTCTAGCCCATGGACCAAATCCTGGCCCTGCAGAAGTCAATGAAAGTCTTTATGCTGGCCTCTTCAGGCACAGTATTCATGGTCTTCCTAATTCAGACGCATTAAAGCTTCCATGCAACAGCTTGTGGGTTCTCTCTAAAACGCCATCTGGCAGGAGCCTGGTAATAACCCTGCTTATTTTCTGAATGACTACAGTGGCATTAAAAACTAATGCCGTTAAAACTCGCCTACGATGACGTGGGCCATTAAAACATAAGAAGACACCTCAGCTAACTGCCCGCAGGTTGCCTCTTGCTCTGGCTAACCCCATGAGCTGGGCTTGGAGGAAGCTTATTCTTCTGAAGCACTTCACAGAAGACCTGACTTGACCGTGCTTTCCTCCTGAGTTGGAGCCAGATGTCTCCTGCTCCGTGTGAATCGGCTTGCAAAGCCTGTGCAAGTGAGAGGACTCCAGGAAGGAAGAAGCAAGCCTGCTTCCTCCTGCCCCAGGCACTGCCAGCACCGCTGAGCATCACTGCCTCAGACCTGGGAGGGAGAAGGGACTGTCCTGCAGCCAGGAGAGACAGTCATGAGCTGGGGCTGATTAAAAAAAAAACACAGGTGAAATCCACTGTGCAGTGACCCACATGGGCAGGCAGCTTGCTTTGGTGGGATGTCTGATCTGTTGTCGTTCAGGAGTGCGGCATTAAAGCTGGACATACATGGTCTGTGAAAGCATTAGCTCCATTTTCAACAGAGGTCAGAAGAAGCAAATTGCTTGGAGCTGTTAGGCTAGGAGAGGGAGAGGAGAGGAGGAGATGCTCAGGCCCATGCGCATCTCTGGTGTGCCTACACACGCAGCCTGCAGCTCTGCAGTGATAGCGAGGCTCAAGGAACAGCTCTATAGATGCTACACGCTTAGAGACTCCTAAATAAGCTCTAAAAATGGTGAGAATCCCAGGGAAGACAAATAGAGAGTAGCCGTTCATGGCCTCTTCCAATATAGGAACCAAGGGTCGTCCAGGAGAGCCATCCACAGGTTCAGAGCAAACCAGAGGAAGGACTTGTTCGTAATGGCTGGCAAGCCTGCCGCAGGACAGCATGCATATTAAAAGCTGACATGGCTTCAAAAAGCAATTAGGCATATTCATGGAATAAAGCTCCACTGAGGGCTGTTGTATTCAGAGATAAAACCTCTGGCCCAGGAGGTTCTTAAACTAGAGTTGACTGCAAGCTGTGCAAATATACCTAGAAAGCGTGCCTGTATCCTTGTCTTGTTGCTCCCTTCTGAAGGCATCTGCCAGCAGCCACTGCCGAAGCCTGGGCTAAAAGTCTCCTGGTCTCTGTGCAGCTGTTCAGGGCTCACATCCATTCACGTTCTCCACTAGCCTTTCAGGGGCAGCCTGCTCATACCCAGCCCTGTCGGTGTTACAGCAGTGCAGTGATGCTTGGGCTACAGGGCTGAGCAGAATTGCCACCTGCTTCATTTCTGTAGATCTACCTCCTTCTGCACCTCCAGTGGATAGTGCACGGGGATAGAGGCTCTTAATATAAATTGCTTGTCTTTGTACAGACATTCCTTCTTGGCTTCTTCCACCCCTGCTTGAGAGATGTGGGCTGAGAGCGGGGGGAAGTCAAGGTACCAGCAAATACAAGCAGAGACGTCTGAACATGGTAAAGCTCATAGTCAAGGGGAAGGAGTTTTAAGGGGTAGAGTGGGGCTTGGGATGGAAGAAGGATCAAAGGGGAGAGTGGTGGTCTCTGACCAGCATTTTGCCTTACCCTCATTTCCTCCTTTTCTTTCTCCTCAGGTTCAGCACAATGAGTCGGCACCCCAGGCTTTAGCCGTGTGAGGAGACCAGGGCAGTGCTGCTGTGCTCACACCCTACCCCCTCGCTCCTGTCTCGGGGGGAGACCAGTGCTGGCTGTCCTGCCCTGCCCTGCCCGCCCGCCCCTTGCCCCTGCTCGCTGCAGAGGGGACAGACCCGTTATGGATGGGGACAGGCTTCCACGGAAAGTGATGGATGCTAAGAAGCTTGCCAGCCTCCTGAGGAACGGGGCAGAGGGCACCCTGGTCATCGACAGCCGCTCCTTTGTGGAGTACAACTCCTGGCACGTCCTCAGCTCCGTCAACATCTGCTGCTCCAAGCTTGTCAAGAGGCGACTCCAGCAGGACAAGGTCTCCATTACAGAGCTCATCCAGCCAGCCTCCAAGATGAAGGTATGGGATTCGGCCCTGTCTTGCCTTTGTGCCTCGTTGACCTCCCCTTCCTCAGGAGAGGGATGCAGGGGCATGAGTCTCTGACTCTGACAGCATGGGGTGCAGGGTTGTGGAGACAGACTCACTTAAGGGCCAGTCAGGGTGTGGCCGGGATGTCCTGCTTTTCCGCTTTGGCACGTTGCTGCCACTTCTCTTTGGCTCTTCCTTTACCCTTCAGAAAGATGGAGCATGAGCTCTTGTGTCCACAGCCCCGCAGGGCTGTCCTCAGAGATCTGCTACTTTCCCCACCACGTCCCAGCCATGTGGCACCCCCATGCAGGAGCCCTCCACAGGCAGCTCTAACAGGTACACCAGCCTGTATGCTGGCAAACAATCCCACCAAAGCCTTCCTGGAGCTGTAAGCTTAATCCCTTGCTAAAAACTCTTCCCCTCCCCTCTGTCATCTCTAACTCCATTCAGGGACATGTAATCCTCCTCCCTTGTGACGCCAGAAGCTCTTATCCGGTGTCATGGCACATTATCTCTCCCAGGCTCCTCTCTCTATCTCTCCTAGTTAAATAATAGCGGTGGCTCAGAGCCATGTAACTGGGCTCCAGCCCCGGCCTTCCCGGCTGTTGGAAGCACCGCTGGGTGCCCTCGCAGTGGCTCCCGGGAGGGAGCCAGCAGGTCCTGCCCTCTGTGCCAATGCTGCCCCAGGGCTCTGCCATCACCTGGTCAGTGACAGGCTCGCAGCACCGTTTCACCCTCTTGGCTCCCCATGCTCTCGCCCCGCTGGCCACCCTGCAGGCCCTTTCATACACTTGGACTTGTGTCCACGGGCCTCCCGAGCGTGCACGTTGCAGTAGGACCTGTCTGCTCACAGCTTCCCACCTGGCAGAGCATCCCATTTGCCATCAGCCCAGGACTGCAGGAGTTAACAAGGGTAATCCCTGCCTGGGGGATCCAACTAACTGTGAGTGGGGCAAGAGCAGGGAGGCCTGTGTGTGCTGCCGGAGCGGGGCTGGCTGCCCTGTGCCCCCATGCAGGTGCCTGCGTGCCAGGGCCAAGCACAGCAAGTGGTGCAGCTGCGGGGGCTGCCGTGGTTCGCCAAGCCCAGCAAGTGGTTCGGCTGCGGGGGCTGCCCGGGGGCAGCCTGGTGCTGTCCGTGGCGCTCAGTGGGGCCACTTGCAGAGGGGAGAACCCTGGGGTCTCTTCCAGATGTGGTCGGCGGGGGAAAGGTCAGGTATCCCAAGCTGCAAACCCTTGGGATCTGCTTTGGTGTAAGCCCTTCCAGCTGCCAAATGTCCCCATACTGGCCCGGCCCCATGGCACGGCGCGGGGCTGCGCTCCAAGGGGCACTATCCCCCCGCTGCCCGCTGCCTCCCCATGTGGCTCCCGCTCTTACCGCTTCCCAGCCCCCCCGCCTTGCAATTTTATGGCAAAGTGAGGGTAATTCAGGCGATTAATCAAATGCTGGGCCCAGCTGGAGCCATCTGTGGAGTCCTCCCCCCGCCGCCCTCCGCATTGGCTGCCGCTGACATCACCCTGCCTGGCGCGGGGAGGTGTGCGGCGCGGGGGGGCTCCAATCTGCCTTAGCGATGCTGCGCGCTGGGCGATTTGGAGGGGATTGCAGAGAATGATTCCTGAACGGATTTAGCTGTTCTTAAATCCCCGGGAGAATAAAGCAGAATAATCAGTTTCTGCCAGCAGGAGCGGGCGCGAGGCGCGTTTGCCTCCTCCTGGCTAGGGTCACCTCTGCAGTGGCCGCCGTCACGTGGAGCAGCAGCAAAACTGATGCGGGGAGTGGGGGGAGCAAGCAGAGGAGGGAGAGCGGGAAGAGTTAACGTCAGCTGCTGCCTTCTGCAACACCCGCCCCGCGCCCCCGCGGCCTGCGGGGGAGCCGCTGCGGCAGGGATGGCCGCAGGGGTGGCCGGAGAGGCTCCGTCCCACTCACGGAGCGCAAGCGCTGCAAGCCGGTGCCATGGCGAAGGACCCTCGGTGCAATCCTAGCGCCCGCCGCCAGCCCCACGTGTCCCGTGGTCTCCGCGCTGGCAGGGCAAGGTGCAAGAATAGCTCCCTCCTCCCGCCGGGGCATTACGTAATGGCCCAGGTATTGGCTCCGGCAGAAATGCAACCTTGTGGCAGGGACAGTGCAGGGGGAGGAGCAGAGGGGTGTTCCTGAGCTTTAATTCTCTGCTGGCTTTTTTATTTTTTCCCTTTCTTGCAAGGCTGGAAAACCTCCCGGCGCATCCGCAGCCGGGAGCGAGCGCCCCGGCCGCCTTGCTGAGCGGCCTGGCCTTAATCTCCCCCAGCGCACGAGGCCTCCCAGCGCACTCAGCCCAGGAATTAATTAAGCTCCCGGGCACCCTGTGAGTTTAAGCCAGTTGCCCTAGGAAGCCGGGGAAGGAGGAAGGGGGGTCACAACTGTATCCTCCCATGGCAGAAATCAGGGGTATTTGGCCTGGCTGCGGCGGAGCGCCCTCCCGGCAGTGATGGCCACGGCTCAGCATGCCCAGGCTTTCTGCAGCCAGCTCCGAGAGGGGTGTTTCTGCAACATCTTTGGGGTGATGCATGCATTTTTTCCTCTTTTCCTCCTCCTCCCCACCTCCAGCTTGGCCACTTGGGTCAAGCATGTATTTTGTGACCTACAGAAATCAATAGGATTTGGGCAGCTGCCTCAGGATTTATACAGCCCTGGAGAGATATTTGCAAGCTGTTTTAGACCCCCATCACCAATTCTTATCCTTGTGTCTTTTCCGTATTCTGTCTCCCTCTGAACCTCCTTAAATGCATTATTGAGCTGGTGGGTAGTGTGGGGAGCTCAGAGGGAGAGACCTGAGGATTAACAAAAGAGGAATGTGGCCTTGGCAGATTTGTCGGTATTAGTTGGTGGAAGCGTCCCTGCCTCCAGAGGGACAAAAGGGAAGGTGGTGACTCCGCCAGGGTCTAAGAACAAAGGTTTTGGGGTGTGTGGTCAGTGAGGGGAGATGCTCACAGGTCTGCCTGCCAAGCAGGTGAGGGATGCGCCTGGAGAACTAAGCTGAGCAGCGGGTGAAGAAACAACACAAAGCCCTGAAGAGAGGCATTTTTGCTGGAAGGAGTGAGAGTCGGGCCTAGGTACCAGAAGGGAAGGACGGACTTTGGCTGCCAGCCAGGCAAACAGCAGAAATGGAAATGGAGCAAAAAAATGGAGCAGATATCTTCAAAGCGGATTATTAGCAGCTCTAATTTATCTCACAAGAGGCAGCGCTGTGAGGGAGGGACCTTCCAAAGGGCTCGGCTCCCTTTGGAGAGGAGCAGAGCGGAGCGCAGGAGAAGCGTGTCCGTAACGGCGTTCGTGGCACCAGGTGGGCACGGGGCAGATGTCCCATTGGGTCTGATGGACAGCAAGCCCCAGGGCGGACAGAGAGCTGCTCCGTGGTTACATGGGGGCAACGTGTCACTTCGGGAGGGCTGTCCGGTGTTTCTGGCATGGGACCGCAGCGCTGAGAGCCGAGGGGCGCCTCAGAGCGGGGCTGAGGAAGGTTGATGCTCCCCAGGAGGTAACTCACCCTGGCCATATGCCCTCCTCCTCCTCCTTCCTTGCATGTGCATCCAAAGAGAGTCTGGTCTGTGCATCCCGGCCTGGCAGAGGTCACTTGTGCCCCTCTCCTTGACAGGCAGCGGGAGCAGGCACAGGAGAGGCAGAGCAAAGATTGCCGGGACGTTGCTTCTCCCTGTGCTTGTGCCCCTCTGCGCACAGGGATGGCAAGGAAGGGTAGCAATTCCCATGCTGTCACCTTGGCCCAGGGAGCGTTTTCAGCCTCGTTCCATTAATAACTCTTCTGGATGCTCTGGAGTGGAGCAGTGCCATGGGTGTACTGCAGCTCCTGGCTTTCGTCCTGCAGGTCTTGGGAAAGGGCCTTTTGGTGGCAAAGCAAAAATGGGGAAATTAAGTAATCCCCTCCTTGTTGTGCTGAAACATGCTTACACTTGGCCCTGGGCGGCATGAGAAGCTGCTCAAACCCTCTGCATGCCGTGTCCCCACAGGGCAGGCGCGTCTGCCCAGGGCCCCTGTGTCGGGACAGGTCAGGGCTCCCTGGCAGGGTGGTGCCTGGACTGAGAACCTGCAGCAGTCGCTTGGTTTCCGGCTAGCAAGAGTGTTCCTCTGCACAACAAAAATGTTTCCAGGGCTTGCCCTGCTTTGATGCTGCCTTTCAACCCTTTTCGCTGTGATGAACGGAGCAGTGCAGATCCACAGTGCCATTTTGAGGGAGAGGTTTGGGAAATCCCTGCTCATTTTCTTCTTGGAGTTTGATTTTGATTCCTTGAGGGAAAGGTTGGAAATTTTACTCCTTCAGAGCCCCTCACCAAGTCTTCTCACACCTGCTTTTGCTTCCTGCGGTGTGGCTGCCCCTGGTGTAGCTGTAGCAGTGGTTGGAGGCATGGCAGCGGGCTGCTAGGACAGAGAGACACTTACTGTACTATTTACTTTAGGAGCATGGCTTTGGAAGCAGCTGTTTGGCTTTAGGCAAAGCCAGGGCTTATTTTCGAGCTGTGTGCCTGGCTGCTCTGTGTGCTTATGGAAGCACTGTTATTTCAGTGGGGTGATTCACTGTGTTTTGAAACAATACGCGGCTGAGATGCCTGTAGTACTTCGAGTATTAAGAGCACCTAGCCCTTATCTTAGCCCGAACCACCTGCTGCGCTCCGAGTGCTTTGCACAACAGACGAGCAGCATCGAACCCACACAGCAGTCGAGGAGGCTGGGGCAGAAAGAGCAGGGACTGCTGTCCTGCTGCGCCGAGGGGACTGGCCAGCCCCACGCTGGAGCTCTCACCCGTCTCGGTCCGAACCATGAGCGCTGAGGCCACGGCATCTGGGTGAGAGTCGTCTTTGGCTGGAGCCTGAAGGTGGAGGTGAGGGGAGCGGCGGCGGCGGCGGCTCGAAGGTGCTGGTCCTCACGGCAGCTCAGTTGGACGTGCCCCAGCAGCCCCTGCTCCTGCCGGCTGGAGAAGGTGCCATCCTCACGGAGCAGCCCGGGCCTGTCCCGCAGCGAGCTCCCGAAGGCCTGCGGGAAGCAGCCTGGTGTGGTCCCCTCTTCTCATTTCCTGAGCCGGGTCTTTCTGCTGCATGACTGGAGCAGCGTGTCCACCGGTGACATTGCATGTGGGTGGGCTCTGCAGCCAGTGCAGCACATCCAGGAGGATGGAGCCAGCGGATTCGTGGCATATGACACTAGGGACCACAAGCCTGGGCCTTGCCCTGCAGAGCTGCTGCCCCACTTGGGCCCGCCCAGCCCCAAACCCAGCAGCCCAGCTCCTTTGGAGGCAACGCAGCCAAGAGCAGTGGCCAAAAAGGACCTCCCATGCTGGCCAGGCATGAGATCAGGTCCCAGCCTGAGATGCTGAATGGATTCAGCATTCGCTGGGTGGGATGGATGAGCCCGTCTGGAAGCGTGTGCAACGTGTTTGGAGCTGATCTGATCCCAGTGCCCATGGGCCTTGGCGGTGTGTCTCCTGCCAGCTGGGCAGAGGGCCCCTTCCAGGCCCTACTTCCTGGAAGGGGCTGGATGCGGGCCTGGTTCCCACAGCCCCCAGAGTGGAGGTCATCGCCCTTGAGCATCTCTTCATCTGTAGCCTCCTCCTCTGCCCCTGCTTGACTTTTCACCTCCATGTATTAGGGCCAGAGATGGTCCTTTGCCTTCTCTTAGGACCAGGGGTGATCAGGAACCGAGGAACCCGGTTAAACACCTCTCTAGCTGTGGGCAAGGGGTTCTGCAAGCCCCTGAGGGCTCCTCGTGTGCTCCCATGAGCCCCATCTCTCTGTTTCAAGCAGAACCCTGCCCTGAGCCCATCTCCACAGACCTTGCCCTGGCAAACACAGCATTTATCTTCTGTGGCTGGGCCGCGCAGGGCCAGTGCTGCTTGTTTGGCATTTACATGGAGTGAAACCTTATAACTTTAATAAGATGTAAACCGTGCCACGCATCCCTGCCGTTGCCTGGCAACGCGCCGGTGCTGGCCCCGGCGCAGGCTGCCGGCCGCAGGGAACACTAAATCCCATTGTGGGACAAGGGTGCTCGGCCGGCGCGGCGTTCCGCGCGGCCCCGGCGCCCTGCGCGCGGCGGACACTGCGGCAGGTCTGCAGAGCGCCTGGCGG